CCTGTTTATTTACAAGTTTTTCTATAGTTTTTTTTATTTTATTAATAAATACAAATTCAAACCATTCCGTAAATATAACTCTTATATGTTCAATCATTATAAAAAATAAAAATTTGTATTATAATGTTTATATAAATTGAAGCAAAAATTAAAACTGAACGAATTTATTTTTTTTAAATTGAACCGGAATAAAGACTGGCATAAAACATTTTCAATTCAAAACTTATTATTCAAATATATTTTAACAGAGATTGTAAACCCTTAGTACCATAGAACGAGGAAACTGGAATTGAATAAATGCATTTATATCGGCAAAAATTAATTACTGATATATAACGCATATATAAAATAATAATCTATTGTTAAAAATACTTTTTTGTATTTAATATATTTTTTATTTATGATTTAACATTAAGGATACTTAGTTCTATTGAACAAGAATTTTGATAATGCAATTTTAGCAACACCTGTTTTAGACCCACCACCACCACCTACCTAATATAGTAATTGACTTCATTATATATTATTTATATTATTTCTATTTATTCTTCTGTTCCTATAACTTTCGGTTTCCCATTCCAAAATATTTATAGAAATTCAGTAAAACTCGAATTGGTTCAGTTGCGTCGTCAATGACTGCAAGTTATACTCGTACGCAAAATTGTTCAGAGTTTGTTTGCAACTCCGATGCTCGTGTGGAAAGTTGTCATTAAAACGATAATTATTTTTCTGCTATTTAACACAAAAATAATAACATGAATTTGCAAACAAAAATAAATTTCATTGTTGAGCGAAAATTTCGAACAAATTATTTTGACATATTTTACAGCTCGAAACTTTTGCCAAATTATTTTGTAAATTTGTGGCAAAATTATTACCTGCACACTCGAATTTACACCTCAGCACCTTCTGTATTTCAAATTTTATTGTCACTTCCTGAGAGCAACGAGAACAAAGTTTATAACTAATTAAAATTTAGTTGTTTAGAGAAATTTTTCCGCATGCTAGCGACCAAGTATGCTGTTGGATTAAATAAATCTTTTTCAAAATAAATTTTAATAAGTGGAAGTCCCAATAAATAAGCGAACAGCAGGCTTCACTCCAGCCCTGACAATGCATTATCTACTTGCAATTGAATTTCGAACTTATTTTCAAGCCAACTTAAATAAAAATTTTGTGTATAAATACGAGAATGACATAGTCCTTAAGCCATTGATCCTTGGTTCCTTGTGGATATTATCAATACGGCATCTATCGAGCACATTGAGCTGCAGTCAATTTTATACATCAATAGATGCTTTGTTCGGTTATTTAAAGGAGGAAAAAATGACAAAAATGAAGTCAGTTTTCAGTCAGTTGTTGAAGCTACAATACCCTTCACACAGTCATGTCAACTACATCTCATTTCAATATTTTAAATACGTTGAAGTAAACTGATATTTAAAAATATATTTAGAATTTTGTTAAGAGTTTGTGTAATCCAAACGGGAGAGACTTTAAACAAAATTGCAGGCCATCAATTTTATCCTGTTTAGAATTTAATCAAAAAACTTTATATGCAGATATTATATTCCATTAAAAAACTATTGCTGAACCGGAAAATATACTGCATATTAAAATCTGAACCGACTTAAAGAGTATTGTATTGTATATGGTGACAAAGTCTTAACATTCCTTTCATTAAGTGTAAAGCGTGTAGAAATGGTAGAAATGGTTGAATGAGACCTTAAATCTTTACCTTCTGCTTACCTCTTTGTAAGCATCGAATGCCACAAGATGATTTTTCCTTTTTCACCCGAGGTTATGCAAACAATCTGCGACACAAAGGCAACTTTCGGAAGTGTTAAAAAAGCGAAAGAGAAAAATTTCTGCAGACGTGCAAGGTGTGTAAATGTCAGCTGAAGTGTCACATCAGTATTTGAATGTCAATGTTTAAAGATGGCAGGAGCAGTGCACAATCAATTTTGAAATTGAAAAACAGATTTAAAATTTGGACTAGGATTCAATTTAATTTTCGCTGCCAGCTATGATAAGCTATTTGGAATACAAGTTCTTTGTTTTCATTTGCCCAAACCTTTAATGCATAAAATCTCATCAAAGCAGTTAGAAATGTTTTAAAATATTTAAAGAAATTTTATAATAATATTATCATGAAATTTCAGTTATAAAGGTTTGGGGACACCTTAATGTTATAATAGGTCTTTAATATACCTATGGTACTACATGGGATGCATCTAAGTCTGATTGCAAATACATATTAAAGACTGAATAGAAATGATCCATCTGAATTCATTATTTTATTTTATTTGCGTCCTTAAGCAGTATTATGAATGTATAGTATAGTAGACATAGTTATATATTTTATCTAAGAGTTTTATACATTCTAAATCAATTGATTTTATAGTTCCGAATGGAACTCTATCTGGGCTTTTTAGTTCTTTATTAATTGCATATTTTTTCAATTTCATATTTAGTTCAATACACACTAGTTAGCATATATGGAAAATAAAGATCATAACTTGATCATCGTCTATTATAAAACTTTTTAAATATATAGCTTTCAAGTATCAATTAATTAAAAGTTAAAAATTCAATATCGATCTCCATATCAGAAAGACAAAAGCAGTTTTTATATTATGCACTGAATTTACATATACGGCCATAGTTTGTCGTATATTATATATACGACACTGAAATTTGGCGGCCTGCTCCAGGCATGAATCATAACATTCAGAAACTAATTAGATGCCACCTTGTCTTAGCATAACTCGAGCCCGTAGATTATGTCCCACGCCTTAAAAGGTCTAGCATCTCCTAGTGATTGAACTTCATGTTAAAAGCAGTACTTGTAATAACTCTATCAGACTCAAATCAGCTGGGTAGAGCTTACAAACGGACATACCAGGATTTTAGGCATAGCTTCAAACTATCTATGTAAGATGGCATTGCGCTATTAATTCTCATATATTTAAGAAGCTACTTAAACGTAATTTTTATGTAAAGGAATAAAAACGAACTATCAAGCATATTACAATTTGTATAAATAGATTAAAAATAAACTGTGGTGAAGGTGCAATACTTTTTTGCTATTCACGAATAAAAATCATTTTCTTCGGCTACAGCTTAGCAATGCCAGTTAGTGGCAAACTAAAGAAATAAAAGGTGAAAGTGTAAGGTTGGTAAGTCTAAGGATATGGAAGCATCTCATATATCTTTTAAGTAACTAATATAAATAAAAATTATTTACACTATGTATACTTTTCTGTGCAACCTAGTTTTCATAAATAAAAACAGATAATGGAACTCATTAATAGAGACCACTGCGTTATTATAAAACTTAGTGCAGCTCTTATAAGCCACTGGTTTATAAGAAATCTGTACATTCCTTTCAAGACTTATTGCAGAAGTTGTGAAAACTTAGATAAAAACAGAGTTTCATCTTTTTTCTACGATGGCCTAAATTTAGTTTCCAACAACAACGAGTGTTTTAGAAAGTATTTTCTTGACAAAATAAACACAAATTTATATAAACAGTATGAATTTACTTCTTGCGATTTATACTAAATCGGGGTCTGATTTAAAGCATAAGAGAATCGCTGATCAGACTTTGCTACCAACCAGAAGCTATCATACCTTTTATTTATATTTATTTTTGAAATATGTCAAAATTCACTTTGCTATCCCCTCCTTCTTCTTCACTATTGACTTTTTGTCAATAGTGTCTGTAATTACTTATAAGACTCACTGTAACAAAAGTTTCATTGAGTTACAATAACGAGTTTTTGAAGTGATTTTTCAGAAACATGGTTTGGAGCTGAGTATATCTTCCTGACGAAATACATATTGCCTTTATTTGGAGAGAGTGCAATTCTGTACTAGTGTGAGCATCTATGGAATCAATAATTTCAGCATTCGATTTTCAAGTCCGTGTGTACCTTTTCATTTTTGATATATTATGCTGCTTTTAACATACGCACCACTATCGTATTAAATAAAAAATAGCTTCGGTTTTAGTATTTGGTGTAAGTTAAAATCGTGGTGCACTATTTCTTGTTTATTTA